ATATCGACAAATCAAATCCAGCACTGTATTAATTTTGAAATGCCCATAATAAAATATAGATTTCAGGCTGGGCGCAGTGTCTCACGCCTATAATCCTAGCACTCTGGGAGGCCGAGGCGGGTGAATCGCTCGAGATCCGGAGTTCGAAACCAGCCTGGGCAAGAGCGAGACCCCGTCTCTACTATAAATACAAAGAAATTAATTGGCCAACTAAAAATATATATAAAACATTAGCCATACATAAAATACATCTTTAAAAATTCCATATCCGTTCATGACAAAGGCTTTCAGAAAATGAGAATAGAGGAGAATTTGCTCAAGTCAATAAAAGGTATATTAAAAAAAAACCATACAGCTGATCTCACACATAAGTGAAAGAATGAATAATTTCTTCCTAAGATCAGGAATAAGGAAAGGATGTTGCCTTATCACTTCTTTTCACCACTGAACTGGAGATCTTAGCCAGTGCAATAAGGCAAGAAAAAGAAATATTAATAAAAGGCACACAGATAGGAAATTAAAAACAAACTGTCTTTATATGCTGCTAGCATAATCATCTATGTAGAAAGTCCCAAAGAATCTACAAAAAAAACCTACTATGACTACTGCATGAGGTTGAAAAGGCTACAGAATACCAGGTAAATATATAAAAGCTGCAGATTGGAAGAAAATGTGATTAAAAAAACCTTGAATCCAAGATATACAAAGAGCTCTCACAATCAAATAAGTAAATAAACCAATTTTAAAATGGGCAAATGATATGCACACATATTTTACACCAAGTTCAATATCATTAGTCATTAGGGAAAATACAAATTAAAACTACAATGAGATGTTACCATAAACCTATTTGAATGGCTTTTAATTTTTTAGATTGATTGATTGATTGATTGATTGATTGATTGATTGATTTATGAGACAGAGTCTGTCACTCTTGTTGCCCTGGCTAGAGTGCTGTGGCATCAGCCTAGCTCACAGCAACCTCCAACTCCTAGACTCAAGTGATCCTCCTGCCTCAGCCTCCCGAGTATCTGGGACTACAGGCATGCGCCACCATGCCCGGCTAATTTAATTTCTTTCTACTTTTAGTAGAGACGGGGTCTCGCTCTTCTTCAGGCTGGTCTCAAACTCCTGAGCTGAAACGATCCACCTACCTCAGCCTTCCAGAGTGTTAAGATTACAGGCATGAGCCACCGGGCCCGGCCTGAATGACTTTTTAAAAATGACAATAACAAGTGCTAGTGAGGATGTGAAGCAACTGAAACAGTCATATTTTGCTAGGTGGAATGCAAAATGGTACAGCCACTTTGGAAAACAGTTTGTCAGGATTCGACCAGAGAAACAGGACCACTAAGACATATTAATTTATTTACTTGCTTTTTATCTTTGTTTTTAATGAAGAATTTGTTACAAGGATTTAACCTCATGTAATCATAGAAGCTAATTAAACATTCTCTGTAAGGCTGTCTTTGCACCTGATGCTAGAGCTTAGAATGCACAAGGCAAGCAGTCGGAGGGGAAGCAACCTCACTGCTATTGTTCACTCAAGAGAAATAAAAACTTATGTTCATTCTAAAACCAGGATGCAAAGGTTTACAGCAACTTTATCTATAATCACCAAAAACCAGACACAACTTAAATGTCCTTCAATAGGTGAATGAATAAACAAACTGTGGTATATTTCACACAATGGAACACTATTAAGTAATGAAAATGAACTGATACATGCAACAACACTGATGAATACCAAACACATATAACGTGAAAGAAGCCAAAATAAAAAGGTTATACATTACTACATGATTTTACTTATATGACATTCAAAAAAAGCAAAACTATAGGTATGGAGAATAAATCAATGGTTGCCAGGGGTTAAGGCTGGGATAGAGATTGACTATAAAGGGAGAGACCTCAGGGGGAGGGATAAAGAAACTGCATTGTATCTTGATTGTGGTGATGGTTGCACAAGTATACATTTGCAAAAACTCATAAAACTATATACCACAAAGAGTGAATTTAACTGTGTATAAATTAAAAAATAAGTTGAATTAAACTTCTGGAATAACGCTATCGCTGAACATCATACATAAAAATATATGTACTGAATATATACTCAATTTGTTTTTAAATATACAAACTCATAATGTATATTCGCATAAGATAACCAGTATATAGGAAGTAGAAAATAACTGATTATTTTGGGGTAGTGAGATGAAACAACTTTAAAAACTGGCCATTATAATATAGTTGCTCAGTGCTGAGGAAAAGGTCAAGTATTAGAGAGGAGGAGGCCCAGGACAGTTTTTGTTGCATACAGACACCAGATAATTTCTAATAGAACACTTTTTAAAAATTCATGTCATAATATCTACGAGCAATATAGTACCCCAACAACACCATATGGTTGGGACAGAATTATAGGAAATATAATTATATGTATTTTGTTTTCTATTATAGTAGGTTTATATACTACTTTTATAAGTATGGGGGGAAGGGAGGGGATAATAAGTTTAAAAACACCCACTACTGCATAAAACACAAAACTTTTTGCCAGTTAACATCCTGACATTCTATCTTAAGTTTTCTGACAATGGTGGCCAAGTGCAGTCTCTAAAGTACAACAAATCTAATGTGAATTGGCTCATTAACAAGTATCCTAACCACGTTCTAGGGAACAGTCTGCAGAGTTAAAATCCACATTTCGGCTAGGCTTGGTGGCTCACACCTGTAATCTTAGCACTTCGGGATGCCGAGGAAGGAGGACTGCTTGAGCCCAGGAGTTTGAGACCAGCCTGGACAACAGTGAGATTCCATCTCTACAAAAAAATAAAAAAATTAAGCCAGGCCTGGTGGTACGTGCCTGTAGTCCCAAATACTTGGGAGACTGAGGCAGGAGGATCACTCGAGCCCAGCAACTGGAAGCTGCCGTGAGTTATGATGATGCCACTGCATTCTACACAGGCAGCAGGGTGAGACTGTCTCAAAATATAATAATAATAAAATAAATAAAATGAAATCCACATTTCCCAGACTCCTTTGAATTTAAGATTCTGGACATAATCTAGGCTGCACCATAGATACATGGGGAGGAGAGACAGATTTGGTACTTAGGTAGAGTGGCAGCATCCCAATTCGGCAGTTAGGTTTCTAATCACAGTGGGGATGGCAATATCCTTTGTTGGCCCGTGCTGAAATGTGACTCTGGAGTAATTCTTGGAAGCCCAGCCTAAAATCTGTTTTTCACATTCCCTAGTACTCAATGTTTCAATAAGCCGTCTACCCAAACAAGCTAGAGTAGAACAAAAGACAAACCTTAGTACAGATTTATAAGAATTATCTTAGATCACGAAGGTTAACAACAACAAAAAAGCAATAACAGTATTATTACTGTTATATTCATTTTCATACAGTAATTTACCTCATACCAATGTCAACCCCTACATCCCAGTATATTGCACCAGCCTAGCAGTCACAGCTATCTCTCCAGTCCTGTAAGTGCCCACGAATGCTGTCTGCCAATTCCATGCCTCAGTTTATACTTTGCCATCTGCTGTTTTCTCCCTTTCCCAGAGATCTAGCTAAAATGTCAGTTAACTCTGCGAAGCCTCTCCCAATCTGACTGGCACAACTAATTCTTCCCAACACTCCCATAATACTGTCCACTGACAGAATTAATTACATTATTATTTTATATGGGTGTACTGCCTTCCAATCTCTTGATTTTTACTATGAACTAATTCCCTGAAGTATAGACCACATTAAATTTCAGTTGCATGCCTACTGCCTACTTGAGGGCCTGACATGTTTCAGGTGCTCAATAAACATCACCAGAACAGCAAACGAGAGTGTCACACTCAGTGTAGGGGAAAGTAGTTTCAATTTAGTGTTTCATGTCTTCTACTCCTTTATCAGACTTGCAGATTTTGGTCTTTAAGGTTTCGTTCTTACAATTTCTATGTAGTGATACAGCTCTATTATACTAATAACTGTTACATTAATAACTTTTACGGTTATGTTATTCTGACCATCTGAAGCTAAATATCACCAAGGCATTTTAAACTCTCAGCTGTGCATCATACAAATTTAAATTATGGCATATAACAACTTGGGTATGAATGAAGCTTCACCAGAAGAACAAATATCAGTGACACTAAGCTTTAATTACTGTGTTTGGAGTTTAATGTATTAACATATATTGATAAGTAATAATTTTTGCCAAAAATAATTCCAAAAAAATGCAAAAACATTAAAAGGAGGATATTGGCTCACATCAAATACACAATGGTCTATAAAGACTTTGTTTTCATAATTAAAAAAATAAAGGATGACTTCTATAGAAAGCTATTTATGAACTGCTCAAAAAGAAATTTTGTCACTTCAAAGGGAGCGTAAACTTAACTAAAGACATTAAGTTCACAAGCAAAAAGAAAAAAGTACAAAATATAGTAGACAAGATTACCTAGTATTTAAAACAGGAAGAGTAGATCTTAAGTGTTCTCACCAGACATGCAGACTCGTTGGGTAACTAAGTGCGGTGATGACTATGTTAATTTAATTGTGATAATCATTTCACAATGCATATGTATACCAAATCATCATACTGTATAGCTTGAATATATACAATTTTTATTTATTAATTATACCTCAATAAAGGTGGGGAAAATTTTTTAAATAATAAAAAATATAAGTAGGATACTCTATATGATTAAGAAAACTTAAAGATTAAAAAGACATAAAGCAAATGAATATATAAAATTTTCATTTGTCAATTATACCTCAATAAAATTAGGTAAAAATTTCTTTTTTGACACAAGGTCTACTCCCCAGAAAAAATGATCAGTTTCTCTCTTTATAAGGCTAGCCTCCATTCCATTGTGGGCAGATAAAAACTACTAAGTCACAGACTTGCTAAATAAGAACTACATGGTTTATGAGATTTCTAAAACAGATTAAAATATTCCCACTCCAACATTTTATTTTATTCACAATTTTCTACTTACAAAGTCTTGACGTATGTCATTGAAGTCTTTGCCATATTTTTCCAGTGCCTCTTCAAATAAGCTAGCTTCAGAGGCTGACCATTCTTCCATTTCATCTCTGCATAAAACAGGTCCTCCAAGTGGTACTAAGACACTAATGGCACTGCTCAAATCATAGCTGTGTCTATACAATGTATCCATAGCATGAAACTAAAGAAAAGAAACAAAATGAACAGAAAACATCAACCAGAAATGCAAATTTACTAGATTATTTTAGAAGAGAAACACCAAAATTCATGATGTGCCTAATATACCTAGGTAGTATTTTTTAAAAGTAAAATTAAGAAAAATTTAAACAACAGGTTACTAAATAATTAAAATATCAGTTACTGCTTTAAGAAAATGTTTACTTGTACCTTTTAAGGTATGTATTGTTATTTTTGAGACAGGTTCTTACTCTGTTGCCCAAGCTAGAGTGTAGTGGTATCATCATAGCTCACCGCAACCTCAAACTCCTGGGCTCAAGCAATCCTTCGCCCTCAGCTTCCCCAGTAGCTGGGACTACAGGGATGCACCACCACACCCTGCTAATTTTTCTATTTTCTGTAGAGATGAACCTTACTATGTTGCTAAGGCTGGTCTCAAACTCCTGGCCTCAAGCAATCCTCCCATTTTAGCCTCCTAATGTATTCGGATTGCTGGCATGAACCACCATGCCCAGCCTAAGGTTATATGCTTTTAAAAATGTATCCATTTGTTATGGCAACCTAACTATGAAGACATGGAACCTCAAATTATTAAATTGGGAACCCAGTAAATTTCACCACCTTTTGGTTAAAAATACTAAAGTTACTTTGGCTATTATGCAAGGTTGGCATAGCTTTCGTGGATCAGAAAAAAATATATACAGGCCGTGCGCGGTGGCTCATGCCTGTAATCCTAGCTCTCTGGGAGGCTGAGGTGGGAGGATTGCTCGAGGTCAGGAGTTCAAAACCAGCCTGAGCAAGAGTGAGACCCCGTCTCTACTATAAATAGAAAGAAATTAATTGGCCAACTGATATATATATAAAAAAAATTAGCCGGGCATGGTGGCACATGCCTGTAGTCCCAGCTATTCGAGAGGCTGAGGCAGTAGGATCGCTTGAGCCCAGGAGTTTGAGGTTGCTGTGAGCTAGGCCGAAGCCCCCCACACACACACACACATATATATGCACACACACACACAGTATTGTATCATAGAGTGACAAAAAATATTTTCAGGTTGGATTAAGAGAAGGATGTATTAAGAATGAGAGATGGAAAGAAAACAACAGAGTGGAGTATGGTCGTTAAGACAAAACAGTATTATACACACATACTGAATAGACAAAACAAAATGACATGTCCATGTTAAATATGATAACTTGGTTGAGATTCTGGAAGACTAAATAAGTGGCCAGGCTTGCTTGGAACAGCTAGGCTGGTGTGGGTTTCTTACACATTTTAAGGGAGAGTGATCTGAAGAGTAATATGAAAAAAGATAGACTAGGACATATAATTAGCAATTTTCAAAAGTACCTGATGTCTAACTTACTTAAAAAGCATTTTCATCCAATTAGTGCGGTGAATAAACTAAACTAGGTTTCAAAATTGCATAACTTTTCTACTGGAGAGAAAAAGATTCATTCATAGCATGAACACACATTTGTATGTGTACCAGGAATATTGCAAAACAGGACAGTCAGCTCTGCCTGTGTCCCAGATAAGCACATGAGTATCATGAAGATTTGGTTAGCAAAGTGATCAAACCCTTACCTAAGTGAGAATTAGTTCTGATTTCTTCCCTCCCATTGCCCAGAATTTCTAACACATGAACATCAAGTCTTGCACCTTTTACACAAAGGATCTCCTGCTATTTATTAAAAATATCACAAATGGGGATCATTGCTTCTATGCAACAACAGATCTCTAAAAAATTAAGCTTTTGGTATGAACTCTGCTGCTCCAAGCCCACCAGTCAAGATCTTAGGCACCAGCTAAGCCACTGTAGCTGTCACTATGACCCATTACAAAGCTGCCATTCAATGCACAAACAGTTCCAGAGGTACTTGGAGAAGTCTGAGTAGCTAGACATGCAGACTGAGGTGCTGGTAGCCATACATGAAGAACCAGAGAAACCTAATAGTAGTTTAGGTTTTTTAAAGCATCACTTAGGATTGCTACTGGACAACCCAGAAATAGAGCTACTTCACCTGGAATTGGCAGCAATGAAACAGAAATATGAAGTTATTGTAGAAGAAAATAAAAAACTGAAAGCAATTATTGCTCAGTATAAACCACTTCAGGAGGTAAAGTGTGCTGAACAGGATTCTTCTCAGCTGAAAAGGCACAGAAAAATGGTTTTGTATAACTTGAATAGTTTGTATATTATATGCTCTTTTCTGAACAGATGCTATACAAGTTTTTTAATATGTTAAATTCACCTGTCACGGGTGAATTTAACTGTTACAAACACCTATACTTAGAATCACCAATAAAAACTCGTCCGGGCGCGGTGGCTCACGCCTGTAATCCTAGCACTCTGGGAAGCCAAGGCGGCGGATTGCTCGAGGTCAGGAGTTCAAAACCAGCCTGAGCAAGAGCGAGACCCTGTCTCTACTATAAATAGAAACAAATTAATTGGCCAACTAATATATATAGAAAAAATGAGCCGGGCATGGTGGCTCATGCCTGTAGTCACAGCAACTCGGGAGGCTGAGGCAGAAGGATTACTTGAGCCCAGGAGTTTGAGGCTGCTGTGAGCTAGGCTGACGCCAGGACACTCACTCTAGCCTGGGCAACAAAGTGAGACTCTGTCTCAAAAAAAAATAAAAAATAAAAAATAAACAAAACTCAATATAACCTTCTTTGGGTCTTAAAGCAGGAGAATTCAAAGTAAACCCTGAAAAAAAAACTAAATATAACCATCTAAATGCAATTCCTAACCTAAAAAGACATTCTGTTTTATTAGTTTGATTGGGAACAGTGGTACTGGTTGCATTTTATCCAAAGAAATTTAGCACAGGCTACTTCGATGGAGTTCAGGATATGAGCACAGGTATAGGCATTCTTTTTTTAAAAAAAACATATTAGGCCGGGCGCTGTGGCTCACGCCTGTAATCCTAGCTCTTGGGAGGCCGAGGCGGGCGGATTGCTCAAGGTCAGGAGTTCAAAACCAGCCTGAGCAAGAGCGAGACCCCGTCTCTACTATAAATAGAAAGAAATTAATTGGCCAACTGATATATATATAAAAAATTAGCCGGGCATGGTGGCGCATGCCTGTAGTCCCAGCTACTCGGGAGGCTGAGGCAGAAGGATCACTCAAGCCCAGGAGTTTGAGGTTGCTGTGAGCTAGGCTGACGCCACGGCACTCACTCTAGCCTGGACAACAAAGCGAGACTCTGTCTCAAAAAAAAAAAAAAACATATTAATATATTTATCCAGTCATTCTTTAAAATGAAGATGTCACTGTTTATATCCCCTGTAGGCAGCTGGAGAGATCTGTGTGACATAAGATGCTTTTGCACGGGTTCTCATCAATCTTTTGCTCTTGTTTATATAATGCAGAACAAATAACTCTTCTTTGCCACCACTTTGCCTTAGGTAACTGTGTGTACCTGCGTGCCAGTTTGATTCCTGACACCACGTTTTCCTTGTATGCAACCAAGTCTTATCTGATAATCTTGCTTTTGTTTTCCTCTGTGCATTAGTGTATACTAGTTGCACACTGGCTTTTCTGTGTTGTTTTTCAATTGGCTTAATAATAGCAGATACTCTGATTGCAATTTATGTAACTTTAAACAGGATCACACTGTTCTCCCTGCTTTACTTAGTAGAGGACAGAACGGAGGCAATATATAACTCTGGGTTCATGCACAAGCTGGGAGGAGAAAAGGAATGAGCCACATACCATGGAAAAATTATAGCTGTAAATACAATTATACAGTGCTCCCCCCACCAAAAGTATTTGTCTAGCTTTGAATTCACTTTATCATCATTATTCCTATGAAGTCGGTAGGGTAAGCACAAGAGGAAACTGGGTGCAGAATTTTTAGGCCAAAGACTGACATTAATACAAATTACTGGGCACATCAGTTAAATGCTCTGAGATTCACATTCCCCATCTGTTAAATGAGAAGAATATCTGTGTTGCCTGCCTGACAGGGTTCTTGTGATGGTCTAATAAGAATGTATGTGAAAGGTCTTAAAATGGTAGGCACCATATTCTCGTTTGTATAAAAATGTTTTCACTTTCAAGTGATCCCTAAATATCTTATAGGGGACTGTGGAATGTCCCGTAGTAGTACAAGAGCACAAAATAAGCTCAAATACCAACTAATATATATTAAAGAAAAATTATCACCAAAAGTATATATTAAAAATATATTAATATATACACTATGATACATTAACTAAGACATTAAATAAGGGTATAGAATATGAATTTCTTGACAGAGATCAAGGCAGTAAGTATTTAGAACACACAGACATGTTTAGGTATAGTACCTAACTGCTTGAACAAGGGTTGGTTGACATCTCATTTAAATCACTGGATTCTACAAAACAAAAGCAAGGAGGGACTTCATGATCAATTTCCTAGTTATAGTCACAGCTTAGGCCACTGACCATGTGTAGTAATTTGCTGTATGTGTCACAACCATAGAACATTAACTTTCAACTTTCAAGTGATTTTTGTCTCACTCTTCTGCAGCGGGTGTTGCAAAAATGTTAGAACTCATCTTGATTCTTTGCTTATACTTTGCAAATTTCTCAACCAGCTAATCTCTATAGCTAACCTATTAGACAGACCCTGCAGTTTAGGTGTAAGTATACACTTTTATACACTTCTACATCATTGCTGAAATTAATATATCAATCCACCATTATCCATGATTTTGCTTTCATGGTTTCAGTTATAAACTGTCAATTACAGTCTGAAAACAGGTGAATAAAGTACAATAAGCTACTTTGAGAGAGAGTGACCACACCATAACTTTTATTTCAATACATTTTTATGATTGTTTTATTTATTTATTTATTTATTTATTTATTTATTTATTTTTAGCACGTGTCCAGCATGTTTTATTATTTTATTATTAGTTATCGCTGTTAATCTCTTACCATGCCTAATTTATGAATTAAACTTTATAATAGGTATGGCATGTAAGAGGAAGCACAGTATATATATAGGG